CCCCAAATCATAAACAAATTAAGAAAACTATTTTTTTTAAGGCCAGACACAATAATACTTCTTCACTCAACAAAACTTATACTCCCTCCGTCCTAATCCAAATGGGCCATCTGATGTCTTGTAGTAGATTAAAAAATAATAATAAATTATTAGTTAATAAAAGTGTGTAAAATAATTTTAATATTTTTACCCTTTGTTCTTTATGTATAAATTATTTATATGTATAATTCTATTTTTGTAATTTATGTAAAAATTAAAAAGGTATTTTGGTATTAATGTATTATTACTTTCATTATAATAGAAAATAGATACTTTCGAGTGAGATATAAAAAAATGGTTAAAAAAATACTTTCAATTGTGACAAAATGGGTATTATCTTTGGTATTATTGATTAGAACATGCTCAACATCTACGTTACTTCTTTATATAGATATATATATATATATAATAGAAATAGACATATACTAGTAAATTTGAAAAATATATAATTATTTTTATAATACAAAAATAAAGTGCAAAATAACAAAACATAGAGATACAAAATATGTATTAATGTATATGCTATCATTTGGTACCATGATGTACTTAAGTATGCACCTTCGTGCTACATCAGAATGTCAGATCCATCTAGGAGTGTTTCATCAACCAAATTATCTTCACCACTAATATTATTTTTAGAGAAATTGATTTTTTAAGCTGACACTTTCAAGAATATTATTACTGTATCTTAACAAGTTTTGATACAACCCCATAATGTAAGCTTTTGAACAAGAAATACATGATTAACTATGCGTCCCACAACAATACCCTCTTACTCAAGTTGTTTCAAACTTTCATTAGTTTTGTTGTTAAACCATTTTAGAAATTCATTTGGCCTTCAACCATCATCGTAGTAGCTCTCATGGTGATAGAAGCTGTAAACTTACCTCGACCACATCCACAGTTACCTACACATTCACGTCCATGACCTCTTATGTGTCTGTCTTTAGGCTTATTATTTGAATATTGACTAAATTATTTTAGGGAATGAATTTGCACCTATTGCTTTAGATTCATGATTTTTTTAACAATTTTTTTTTTCAAAGACACAATGTGGCAAATAATAAAATCGAAATACTTTTTGAAATCCTTTTCATGATATTATTGTTGTTGAATAATATTTGAGGTATGAAATACAGTGAATGTTTTTTTTTTTTACATTTCTTTATTAGTGGTATTTTTTAAAATAAAAATCTTAGGTTAAAGATATGATTTTAAACACTATGAAGTTATAATTGAAAATACTACAAAATTTTACAAACATAAATATTGGCATGTATGTTTTGCCTTTAGCAAAATGATCATCTTTTTGTGATCAAATTAATATTTTATATTTATCTATGAATTTTTCACTATAAGATATTTCATTTTCAAAGTTTCAATAATATAATAATAAAAGAATATATAATAATATACTATAAATACATAAATATATACATATATATACAAATATACATAAGTGAAAATATATATTTATATAGAGGAGTGTGTGTATATATCCTTATATATGTAATACATATGTAGGATAATATGTAACAAGAGCTAACAATATAAATATAGATATGTAGACACAAATAGATAAATTTATTGATTGAAATGACTAGAAGTGTGGATTTGAGGGGACAGTGAGAAAAATAATTTATTTTTTAAATGATTAATACATTAAATTTAATAATTATAGACCAATCATCATGTATACAGTTGGTGAGTGACCAATGATAACAATACAAAAATTAATATTTTCTTTGTTTCTTTTCGTTCTCCTTCAACCTTAATTCACTACAAATTCAGTTTTTTCAACCTACTGCAACTGCAATAAACTCATTCAAGTATTTTTAAAATATTTATGATTATTTTGCAAAATTAGTTGGGTATTCACATTTACTATTATTATTTTTGATTACTTTAGGTATTTTCTTATTATTTTTTTATTAATTTATTTATTTTCTTAATTATAATTTATTAAGGACCCCCTTAATCTCTATTTATAGTATTAATACTGTGTCAAAATATTTTTAAAATAATTCTCATATATATTTATTAGGAAAAAAACTTTACAACTTATGTCTCGTTTATTGTACAATTTTAATATTAAAAAATTCTAAATTTCTAAAATAGTATGAATTGATTGTATCAATAATTGGTCTTCTATAAAGCATCACATAAAAATGTGCACACGTAACAATTAAAATTACTTACGTGGCAGTTATGTGAAGAAATCAAATCATGTCATGCAAAAAAATAATTTTTGAAACATGAGATTTGATAAATTTTTTTATGGAATAATTTGTTTTAATATAATTGATAGAATTTTATTTATAAAAATTAAATTTAAAAGTTTTCAAAAATGATCTTTTGATGAGTAGAAATGCATCAGGTGTATCAAATAAATTGATCAATTAACTTGGACTAATTCATTTGAATTACCTAAAGAATGTCATTTGAGTTAAATGAGAAGGTTTTGGACTAATTAGATAATTAGTTATGTAATTAACTAATTAAATGTAGAGATTTTGTCTGAAATTACTTACTTAATGATGTACTTAAATATTAAAATATGAAATTAAAGTGGCAAGAAGTGTGGTCAAGACATGTGATTGAGTATTTCTTAGTGCTTATGCATGATATACAATATTTATTTCGTGTTGTTGATGATACTCATGGATATTTCTGGAAATGTAAGGTGTTGATAGGTAGCTTTATTTATTGTTTGTGTTAAATAACAAAATATGTAGATAAAGAAAAAAAAAATAAAATAAAGAAGGTTATATAAAATACGAAATACATATATGTATATATATGAAGTCAAATTTTTCTTGCTCAGTGATGGAGTTCTCTTTTTTTATTATCCGTGCCATTGAACAGAGTAAATATAATGAAAAAATAAGGAAATAGTCATAACATATGTAATATCAAGTGGGTTTGTTTTTGTACGAGGTCCCAGATAATTTGCATATATCTTAATCTAAATGGAACATATTGTTAAAAATGGTGAGATTCAATTGCCAATGATATTTAATATTTATATAGGTGATACCATATCCATTTTCAAAGTATTTGTCATAGCTTTACGATCCTGAAAGCTGTACTTGTTCTCTCATCTAATTTCGGAGCAAAGATCCTCGGTGAGGTACTCGAATGAGATAACATAGAGTGGACTTACTAGAATGTATGTTTTTTTTTTTTTTTTTTTTTTTTTTGTAATTAGCTTTAAATTATTTTGGAAATTAAATTATTTCAATTGTTGTAATAATTTTTTATATATCTTGGAAATTTATTGCAGTTGGTTTGCCGTCGCTAATTGCTTCATTTGTGATTATTCCATCAACGAGTTTGGTCATTCTTAGTTAGCCTTAAAATTGTATTGAAATTTGATATTATATATATCTATTTATGTATTACTTTTTGTATTTGGAGATTATATATTAGTTGGTTGTTAGGTTGATGTAGGACACGGTTGTATTTGAGGATGCTTTAATGCACTGATGATGGTTATAATTTTATTTTTGGCATGTCTATGAACGTTGTCGGATTGACGTTGTTTCGTAGGTATCAAGGATTTGATAAAATTATGCTTTAAGTTATTTGTCACACACTTTGGTCCATAACAAATATTTTAGTTAATAGTATTTTCTTTGTGGCGACAAAACCCTTATTTGACACAGAAATGCTTTTTGTAGCGACTTTTTTGTTATGGAGATTGCCCAACACAAATGGTGTTCAATGTGACATGACTTTTATGCCATATTTTTTCTTTACGAACAAATTTCGTAACAAATAGTTTTTTTGACAAGTCTACTTTTGTACTATTTTTTTTGTTACGGATATATTTCATAATAGAAGGTTTTTGACAGAATTCTACTTACCGGTGATAATGTGATTTTTACCAAGTTCATCGACGATTGAGGTGTATTTGGCGTTATGGAGAAGAATATTCCAGAATAGATTGATTGTCATAAATAATTGTATAAGTATAAATTACCACTCTCTTCGTACAATTATGTTCTAATTTCCTCTATCCCAACAGTATTATTATTTTGTTATTATATATATATATCAATAACTTTTATACTTAAATAAAAACATATTGAATAAGGGCAAAAAAGTCTTCTATACATTATTTTTGATCCATCTGTTAGTGATATAATATTAATATATCTTAATATATAATATTTTTATATAAAAAAATTATTGAATATGATATTCAATATAAAATAAATGTCAATAAATATAACAAAATTATAAAATTAAATCTTAAATTATTACAAATAAAATAATATTCATTTCGTTGAAAACAGTAATAATAATAATAATAATAATAATAATACAATACACACAAAAGTAATTAGGGTGTGTTTGTTTGTGGGTTTGTTTGTTCGTTGGTTTGAAATTTTGGATTTGAATTATTGAATAGTAAAATGTTGAATTTGATCAGTTGTTTGATATAATATAAATAGATATTGATGTGATATTTTGAATATAAAATAAATTTTGAGTATAATATAAAAAATGAAAAATAAATATTTGATAGTATAATATTTTTGGAGGGAAATAAAAATTTGAATAGTAAAAATTTATGTAAAACAACAAAAGAATACAACCATGTGATTGTAAACTAAAATATTTATAGAAACAAATGAAATATTTTTGAAATTGTTATTTTAAAATGAACAATCAAAAATAAAAATAAGTAGTATTAAAATAAAAATGATAAAAATAAATGGTAATAATTATTCGTACTTGAATGGTAAATTCGTAAATTTATCACCTAACATATGTTTCACACTATAACTAATTAATTATTAATCAGCAAGGTAAAAATAACATAAAAATAAAAATAAATGGTAATTAAATCGTAACTAAATGGTAAGTTGGCAAATGTATTTACCCAACAGACGTTTCACACTATAACTAATTAATTATTAATTTGCAAAATGCTCCTCACAGAAAGTACTTATTGCAGCGAGTCAAACCATCTGCAACACGGGGACGATGATTGCCTTTCTCCTTCTCTAGACTGTCGCGAAATCGCAACTGTAATTTCATCGAAATTGGCGCTAGGCTGTAGTGGCCAATCTAGACGACCCGCTACTTTTCCTGATTCTCCTGCGTGCATATATATATATATATAACTCTAGGCAATTTCTGGATTCGGGGCAACGGAAGGCAAAATGAAGCAGGCTGGAGTAACCATGGACGTCGGCAGCGATGGTGTTGCAGTAGTCACCATCAAGAACCCTCCTGTCAACGCTCTTGCCCTTACCAGTAAGCCTTACGAGATTTTTGTTGCTTAAATTATTTTTCGATGATATAAATATGATTTTCACGGTGTTTTGCTTGCGCGCAGTCTTTGATGGACTGAAGGAGAAGTTTTCTGAGGCTATGAGAAGAGATGACGTGAAAGCGCTTGTACTTACAGGTATCTGTCGTATATTCGTTGCTGTAATAGTAACATCACAGGTTTACAGTGGCTTTTAGGTAGGATGATTTGAAAGGGGTTGTGGTTACTGAAATTTGTTTGGAGGTGTTATTTGAGAAGGTGCTACAATATGCTCTTGTGAATTGTAATGCTAATAGATAATCTTTTCTGTTTCAATCTATATGTGTATATATATATATATATATGATCCTCTATAAAGTAATAAAGTGAAGGATTCGAATTTTATAGGATTGAAGTTTTAGGTCGTTGAGTTTGATGTTTTGTGGACTGAATGTATTTGAATTTGAATTTGAATAGCAGTTAAAGATTTTGTGTATTTATTGATATGTAGGATTTTGTATATTCATATAAAATGTTAAGAAGATGCTAATTTTCTTAAGTTATGTTAGATCTGTAGGTTTGTGAGTGATTAGCTACAAGTGAAAAGTTTATTGAATATTCATGTTGATCTGCACATTTTTCAGCTTTTATTCCCTAGTACACGATCCTGTTCAGAGATTTCTGTCGATTTCTGAGGGAACCAAGTGTGTTAACAATTATATCAGATTCGCCTCCTTAGGGCCTTGTTTTCTTTTACGGACTTTGTTGGATGTATGTCTTATTCAAGTTAATACCATGTTCTTAAGGACAAAGGCCCATGATAAATTAAAATCAGGTATATATAAAAAAACAAAAATCTTGAGTAAATAATTCATTGAAATGAGGTGATATATATGTATATATATTCATGAAGGTACATCGCTTAATTGTAGCTATATTGTGATAATACCTCGCTTTTATGTGGAGTGTATATGGCTATTTTGCACACTGGTTGACTGAGTTTTCGAATTACTTATCTTAAAGGTCATGGCGGAAAATTTTCTGGAGGGTTTGACATTAATGTGTTTGAGATGGTACATAAAACAGGTCTGTGTATATTAATATAATCTCGCTCTCTTATGTTGCTGAATATATCCATGGGATCTAATATATCGTTATTCTGCAGGAGATAGCTCAATCTTACCTGATGTATCTGTTGACCTCTTAGTAAACATAATAGAAGGTCTCTTCAAAGTTCAATATTTTGTGAATTTTTAGATTTAAAATATAGCTCCACCACAGCTTTCTTAAATTTGCTGCTCCTTGACATTATGACTGTCAGATGCAAAGAAGCCCACTGTTGCTGCAATAGGAGGACTTGCACTCGGAGGTGGCTTGGAAATGGCTTTGGTTTGTGTTATTGCTTGCATATGCTTAAGAATGCCTAAATTTTATTCTTAGGGTGTGTTTGTTTGGAGGATTGGATTTAAATCCAACTATTCATCCAATTTTTCTCTCCCAAAAACATCAAATCAACCACCTATTTTTCATTTTTTTATATAATACTAAAAATCAATTTTACATTCAAAACATTACATCAATACCTATTTATATCACATCATACAACTATTTAAATTCAAAATTTTTACTATTCAAATCTCAATCCAAAATCCAAACCCCCAAACAAACACACCCTTAGTTCATCATCTGTATATAAGTTTGTCCACACATTTACATTTATGAATGTTTTCAGGTATGCCATGCACGCATTGCTGCACCTAAAGTACAACTTGGTCTGCCTGAACTCACTCTTGGAGTTATTCCTGGCTCAGGAGGTAGTCCTGCCTGCTGATCAATGTATTTGATAAATCAATTAGTAGTTCAAAATAGGGAAGTTCATTATCTCTGCTAGCTGTTTAATTTTCTATTCATGTTTAAAGGTACACAGCGTCTCCCGCGACTTATAGGGCTGCCGAAAGCTATTGAAGTTATACTTGTGAGTCTTCTTTCTTTTAATTTGGTTAATTATCCGGAATCTATAGAACTTGGGTTGGTCTATGGGTGTAATCTAGTGAATTAACTTCTTTGGTCAAGTTTGATTATTTTGCTTCATTTTGTTTTGCTAAAATTCATTACAGTTTGCTGATGGTTGTTACTAGTAAGTATGTTATCCATATTATATAGGAGTTTCTATTAGTTTAGACCTACACTTAAATGAACAGGATATTGCTGTAGTAAATCACTTCACCAAACAACTTTGGATCAAATATGTTACTCCACCCAATGAATACTTCGCATTTCTCCAACTAATTTTCTGCAGTTCAAGTATTACTTGATAAATTTTGTCTCGTTTAGGTCTTTCTTGTACCTGATGCTTGTAAACTTTTCTAATAAAACCAAAGGGCTTCTTTTCAGATTCAGTGGTGCATCATTATTTGTGGAATGATCTTGGAAGTGTTTAAATATAATTCTTAATTATCATTATGTAAATCAAGTACGCTGTTTAAAAAATAGTAAGTAGATTCTTATTATGTGTTGAAAGGGCAATTTTGAGTTCGATAATTTAGATTAATCACAGTGAAATTGGTCAAAGCTGAAGTTGTGCACGTATAATCTTGAGAAAAGGAGGTTTCTATTTTGCTGACATCCAATTCATTTTCCTTTTGTTTTTTCATTAACCACGACATTGTCGTGGGATATTCTGCGTTAGATATTTTTACCTATAGAAACCTAGGATGGCTGATCAACGTAGTCCTTACCAGCATCCAATGCTGGTGAAATTAGGCTTCAGAGTTTTTTGTTTTTTATAGAATATTATTCTATATGGTTCTGGAGTTTTGGTTACTGTAGTTGATGGATTTATGTTTTTTCTGACTGTTTTGATCTCATACAGTTTTCTAAACCAATGACATCTGAAGAAGGAAAGAAGTTTGGCCTCATTGATGAAGTTGTGCCACCAGAAGAATTGCTGAAAACAGCCCGAAAATGGGCTTTAGACATTGCAGAGAAACGAAAACCATGGATACGTGCTCTTCATAGGGTAGACAAACTTGGTTCGCTGCCAGAAGCCCACGAAATCATACAAGCAGCGAGGCAACAGGTCAAAAAGATTTCCAAAAATATGCCTCAGCATCAAGCTTGTCTTGATGTGATTGAAGAAGGAATTCTTCTTGGTGGATATCACGGACTTTTAAAGGTACTTTTATTTTAGAAAATGGTCTGAAACAGTTTCTCTAAGACTCTAACTTTAGGGAGGCAATTTCCTTAAATATGTCTCTTTTTTGTAGATTAGATTTGTTGCTTTATTGCAATGCTTCTTTAAGGATAAATGAATGATACTTGTATAGCTTTTTTGTGCAAGTAATATAAAATACAGTTGTTTATGAGCAGCTGGAATTCTGAATATGTTACCTTTGGCAATCATTGGAAAGAATTGAAACTTAGATTCAGAATTCAGGATGTGCAGAAAATTGGATTGTTGTAATTTTATATCGTGAAAGCTATTTCCTTCCAATTCACCGTTTTCTTGTATTGTTTGTTGCAGGAATCAAAGGTATTTAAAGAGCTAGTAGAGACCAACACATCCAAAGGTCTGGTGCATGCCTTTTTTGCGCAAAGGGCTACATCAAAGGTATAGAACCAGCAAACCATAAATGCAATTTTCTCAATGATATTGCCACTAACAAGGTTTTGAAACAACGTTTTCTTCCATATTCAAATTTTCTTTAGAAAGAGACAAGGAAGAAAAAATGAAAAGAAGAGAAAAAGATCAAACGTATTTTAAGCAGCTGGAAACAAATTCTATCAATCTTAGGAATTTTGTTGATTGTTAGTGCCTCCTTGTTTTTGGCTTGTCCACATTAACCACCATACTCTCTATCTTTACAAAAATTCTTTGGATACAACCTTTATTTATTTATTAATTATTACATTATTATTATTATTGTAATTCTTTTTTGTAAAGAGAGTATCCCATGGTACCTTCAGATTTAGAATCGCCTTAGTTATTGCTTGTACTGATATTTCGAATTAAAAACACCACATATGTCCAAAAATATTTTGCTATAGTTGTCAATTTAGGATATCATACAAATTTTGCTACTTTTCTTATTTACAAACAACTTTTTTTTTAATCCTTAATACAATTTATAAAAATATTCTAAGTAAAAAGTAAGTGCAAATTGGTTAAAAAAAAACTATCAAAATTATACCACCTGTAGACACGCCGAAAGTAAAACAAGTAAAAAGGGTGGGACTTTAAGTCTTACATTCATATAATATGACATGCAGACTTGTATGAGACTTGGAATAACAAATATTACATTCATATAGTATCACGTCATGCCACTGCATCATATTACTTCTACAGTAAGGATGTCTTAGATTTGGCCTGGGTAGTTATATTAACATCAATCAGAAAAAAATTAACATGTATTTTATGGTTTTAGTTTTATTATATATCTGAAAGCAGCTTTCTGTGTAATCTGGATATTAATACAAATTCAATCATGCAGGTACCTAATGTTACTGATATAAGGCTTAAGCCAAGACAAATAAAGAAGGTTGCTGTTATTGGTGGAGGGTTAATGGGTTCAGGCATAGCAACAGCTCTACTTTTGAGTGATACATCAGTTATTCTCAAAGAGATAAATAATGAGTATCTTCAGAAGGGGTTAAAATTTATAGAAGGTTTGTTTAGATGAACTAATCTTTTATTTTCCATCTTTTTCCAATCAGTAATCCAGTTACCAGAGATGCTAGCGTAGCTTGTTGAGGATGAAATGTTCTTTTGCATTGTTACAATTTGATTTGACATTAATTAATGTCTACTTGTAGAAAATATTCAACGCCTTGTGGTGAGTAAAAAGTTGCCGCAGCATAAAGCAGAGAAAGCCCTTTCAAAGCTTAAAGGTGTTCTGGACTACTCTGATTTCAAGGATGTGGATATGGTGATTGAGGTATGAAAGAAAGATATTACAATTTAAAATAAAGTTTTAGTGTGTTAATGCATTATTTTTTGGCAGCTACATGTTTTATGGGATATTATTTATATTGTCTTCAAGCTGCAATGCATTCACTTTAGTCAATGGATCTAAAGTATGCTAAAAATTCACCATTCACATTCCACAACTATGGCTTCTTCTTGTCTGTGTGTTTCACATTCATTAGTTGTTCCCTGGCTCCAGTAGCTCTTTCAGCATTCTTTGATTCATCCATTAATCTGCAGCAAATTAAATTAACTCAACACCAATGCAACTGGAACACAAGCCTCAAAATGATACTCAGCAGCCTTTGCTTACTTGAGAGCGCTTTTTTCTTTCATACTGGAAATTTCTTGATTGGGTTATTTGCAGGCTGTTATTGAAGATATTGCCCTGAAGCAGAAAATTTTTTCTGATATTGAAAGTGTATGTCCTCGTCACTGTATTTTGGCTTCCAACACCTCTACTATTGACCTCAATATAGTAGGAGAAAAGACCAAATCACAAGACCGGATTGTGGGTGCTCATTTTTTCAGGTTTGCTTCTCCTTGACATATTTAGAGTTAATTTATTTTGCATTTAAAATGCCACAAGTAAAACCATCATGCTTGCCTGAGCAGATGTAAATATTATATCAGCAGTTCTTTTAATGCTGTTATGAATGATGCATAATCTTCCTTCATGCTTCGAGTTCGTACCAAGTAATTATTACGTATGAAAAAGGCTATTTACTAGTTAAAGATGGTTTAATTCCTGTCGCAACATTCTTGTTATCTTCAATGCTCCTCACTCACGATTGCAAAAAGCATTGGTTACTTAAAAAAATCATGTAGACCAGTGATTGTTTTGTTTCTTTAACTATGCACTTTCTTCTAGATATGTTTTATGAGATGCTCTTTTACATACTTATAGTTCACATGCCTGCAAAGGCTGTGCTGTGTACTTCACAACGAGTTATTGTAGAAGATGCAGCGGTAGCTCCTTTTCGAGAATACTGTAATATACTTGAATTAGGCAGCTGATAATTATAAGTACTTGCTGACAGCCCTGCCCACGTGATGCCTCTCTTGGAGATTGTACGGACTGAGAAGACTGCGGCCCAAGTCATTCTTGATCTAATGAGTGTCGGGAAGGCCATGAAAAAGGTTCCTGTTGTAGTTGGCAACTGTACTGGTTTTGCCGTCAACAGAACCTTCTTTCCGTACAATCAAGGCGCTCAGCTTTTGGTTCACTTGGGGGTGGACGTCTTCCGGATTGATCGAATTATCACTGACTTTGGGCTTCCTCTTGGTCCATTCCAGTAATATTCTTTCCTTTCAATACTCTCTCTCCATTCACGCCTTACAGTGTATTGATCAATTCTAGCATTTTCAAAAATTATTTATTTGTTTGTTTGTTTATTTGGATTATCTCAGGAAGTATTGCTAGGTTATTATGCTATCAGATATTTTGATGTTAAACTTGATCAATGTTCTTAAAAACTCTTGTCTTGAATAAAATATGAAATGATTTGTGCAACCGAAAATTGTCCATGGTTGTAATTCCTGGTTCTGCTACAGGCTTCAGGATGTTGCAGGGTATGGAGTAGCCGTTGCAACTACTAAAGTATTTGCTGCTGCATTTTCTGACCGGACATTTAGGAGTCCATTGGTTGAGCTTCTTATGAAGCATGGAAGACACGGTAGAGATGAATTATTTCTCTTGATTTATCCCAATGTTTTGCTTTTGCTGCCTTCATGATATTTATTATAAATACTCGATTCTGTTGCAGGTAAAAGTAATGGGAAAGGGTATTACATCTATGAGAAAGGAAGCCCCCCAAGGCCTGATCCGTCCGTACTTCCAATAATTGAGGAATCTAGGAAACTTACCAATATTATGCCAGACGGAAGGGTATTTCCCTCATCTGAAATTAATTATAAAGCAAGTAGAATATGTTAAAATGTTTTTTGGCATGTTTTACATAACTTATACTGGTCATGGACCATCCGGTGCAGCCTATTTCTGTTACGGATCAGGAAATCCTCGAGATGATCCTCTTTCCAGTTGTGAACGAGGCATGTCGAGTTTTAGAAGATGGGATTGTTGTTCGGGCTTCAGATCTTGATGCTACCTCAGTTCTTGGCATGAGTTTCCCATCATATCGGTTGGTCATCGACACTAATTCCCTTCTATGCTTCCCGTTCTCTTATTTGTCTCACTTCCTTTACTTATTTAATTCATCTAAGGCCCATAACTTTAAAGATTGGGAGGTTATTTCATGTTATGAAATGGCACCTCGGAACCTTGGGTACGCTATGAAGCAACGCTAAGAAGATATTTCTTTTTCATTGCAGTGGTGGTATTGTTTTCTGGGCAGACACTGTTGGACCAAATCATATATATAAAAATCTCCAGAAATGGCACGGACAATACGGCAATTTCTTCAAACCATCGCAGTTTTTGGTCGAAAGAGCCACTCGAGGCATTCCATTGGTAAATATTCTCTTAAAAGCCACATAAAGTTTTGCATATTTGCTCGAGTTTTTTAACTTCAGTTTACTTAATCCGCGAATCGTTTCCCACAATTACATAAGAGTCATGATGTCCTCGTGACATCGTGACAATATGAAAAACTATTGAAAAGCTACAAAAACCAAACTGCAATCTTGATCAAACTCGTTTGTGAAATATTTTGAAGTGATATTTTTTACGTGAGGTATAGGAAATTACGTAGGAGAGATATAAAAATAATGAATATGTGTAATATAGTAATTTTTTTGAGAAAATTTGTGGAGAATTTTTTGCAAAATGAATAAACCCTATAGGGTGTGTTTGTTTGTGGATTTTAGTTTTTGAGTTTGAATTTTTGAATAGTAAAAAGTTGAATTTGAATAGTTGTTTAATGTGATGTAAATAGAGGGAAAGTAATTACTAAAAAGTTGAATTTGAATAGTTGTTTGATGTGATATTTAGAATATAAAATAAATTTATAGTACAATATAAAAAAAAAAAAGTAATTATTTAATGTGATAGTTTTTTAGGGAAAAAAGAATCTGCTGTAAAACCACAAAAGAACACAACCTATATATTTACTAAACATGCAATTTCAGCTTTAGTTTTCCATTAAGGTGTTTGTGCAAAATTACCTGAAAAAAAAGTAGAAAATCGATACTGACTTGGAATTCATGTCTTGCGCAGAGTGCTCCGGTTTCTTCAACATCCTCGGGGGCAAGGCCGCGGCTGTAATACAGTTGACTTCATCAATCTCTGCTTCGACAAGGTGCGGCGCTCGAATAACTTCATTTGCTTGCTATAAACAATAGTAACAACAACAATAATAATAATAGTAATGATAATAATAATTCTTGAAATTACAAGAAGATAGAATGTTTGAATTTGACGAGGCATAGAACTGTATGATGATATGGTGTTGTGTTTATTTTGCTGCTTGAATGATCAATGGTTGTGAGTCACTTTTTGTAGCTTCTTATTACATACATTATGGAAAATGTTCTTGTAGCCTTAAGTAGTTTCTTTTGGGTGGCTGCTATGATACCTAACTTATATTTTGCTTAGCATTATAATAATTATATTGTAATCATTAAATTAATTGTTGATATTAGACAAGGACAATTTTGAAATTGGAAAATAACTAATTTAATGGCATTTTCTTGATTAAATTAATGCAATTAATTATGTTATATTTGGAAAAACTTATTTAATTCAATTCTAAAAATGCATATATATGTATAGCGAGCACATAAAAAATAATGCTATTGATAGTACAAGAATATGATACAAGGGAGTGTATTCAATTGAGATTTGAATGGATTTTGTTGAATTTTAAAAAGTCTATGGATTTATATGGATTTTTTAAATCCACAGAGTTCAATATGGATTTTAATAATTGATTTAGATGAATTTTTACGGATTTAATTGAATTATTTGTGGATTTATATGAATTTCTTAGGATTGAAAAATAGTTTTTTTATTAATATATATAATTATATAAATTTATATTAAACACAAGTTTTATAAATATAATATATTTATAATTAAAGTTATTATATATTATTATATTTTTATAATATCAAATTAATAAATAAATAATATATAATTATTAATAATGTAAAAAATATTATACCATATATAATACTATTATATTGTATATTAGCAATATTTTTTATTTTATAGTTTTTAGTATTATATTATCATTCAATATATCAAATTATTTTTATATTTTTTATTAGTTATTGTTATTATTTATATAATCTTTTACATAAAAATAAATAAATATGGATATAAATAAAGTATAAAATATATAATTTACGATTTTTGAAATAAATATTAAAATAAAAAAGTAAATAAATATAAACTAACGTTTAGAGTGCCTTTGAACTAACACGAACCTGACACGATAATAGACGGATACCCGGGATGAATTGACCCATTGCTGGCTCTAATTTTTAGTTGAAAGTTGGCTGGAAGTTGATTTATTATTTAAATATTATTTGATATATAAGATTTAAAATTATAAAACGTGTATTTAATTATTTTAATAAATATAATTTAATAAAATAGGTATAATATAGATATTATTTTGTAAAAATAAAATATTATATACTATAAATAAATAAAAATATATATAAATATTTATTAATCATTAATATAAACTAATTTTACTAGTAAATGAAAAGTTATATATATATATAAATATATTTTCTCCATCGTACAAATGAGTGCTCATTTGACCTGGTACGGATTTTAATAAAAGTAATTAGTAATTGTTATTTTTTTATTTTATAGTAAAAAAAAGTACAAAAATATAATGATTTTTTTACTTTAAAAGAGAATATTTTTTTTTATAGCAAAGTGAGTATAACTTTGAATGATGAAGAGTATTTATTTAATGAGCAGATAAATAAAAATAAAATATTTTGAATGAGTCTCATATCATATAATATTTTTAAAATTAAAAGTATAATAAGGAAAATAGTAGCCACGAGAAAGAATGGATTGCCTAACAATCTCGCACGTATGTATACGCAATACTGGGTGTGTTTCTTTAAGGAAGTTTGTAAAAAATTGTGTTTGAGTTTGGATTTTATTGGGATGAGTTTGAATTTTGTTGTTTTTTTGTGTTTGGGGAGTCTTTGATGTGTATTGATTTGACGGATAATGAATAAAATAATATAAATTTGTATTAAATTTAATTGATAAAATTTATATTATATAATTTGATTATGAATTCATATTATATCTAACATATATATATATTTTTAAATTTTTATTTATTTGTATTATAGAAAATTTTATTTTCTACCAAATGACATATATATTATATATATATATTTTCATTTAATTATAATAAATATTAAATAATATTTCAAATTTTTTTAAAAAAAAATTAATAAAAATAAAACTGCAATACAACTTCTGTCAGTATAGACAACATAGATAGGATGAATAGCTGTAGGGGTGGGCACGGTTCGGTTATTTGCAAATATACAGGTATTTGATAACCGAACCGAACTAAACAAATACCCGAAACCGCGAACCGTATTCGAACCGAAAATATTTGTAGTATTTGAAAATAACTCGAACCGAACCGAAATTAAAAAAAAATATATAAAAAAAAATTAAAATTCTAATTAAATAAAAAATATTTGCAAATATTTCAAATATTCGAACCGAAACTGAACCGAAACCGAACCGCATATAATTATTAATATAAATTTTAAAATATAATATTATAAATACATAAATATACTCGGTTCGGTTAACCGAACCGAAAAAAATATGAAAAACCGAAACCGAACCGAACCGAACAAATATCAAATATGCAGTAGTTGTATTCGAACCAAATTTGCTCGATTAATTGAAAATACGGTTCGATTCAGTTCGATTCAGCGGTTCGACGATTTGGTTCGATTTTTTTTGCCATTCCTATAAATATGGGTGGTTTGACGCCCATTTTACTGTGCACAGTAATTGCACAGTCAAATGGGCCTTAACGCTTGGAGAAATACACTCATAATTATATGCGTATAATGAAATTAAGTGTCACGATGTAGGAGTCATAATTTAGGCAAATTGTGAATTCAATAAATTGTAATTACATTAAATTAGGAATACTATGATTATATGTACGCAAATAAATGCTACAGACTAAAACTTAAAGGATGATCCCCGAATCACTTTGCTGTTGTTTGAAGATGATCGAAGATGCTCTGCCAGTTGACCCAATCTTTAAATATTCCCCAGAAGAGACGTTTCAAAACCGTCGCCAGCAACCACCGTCAACCGCCCACAACAAAACGTTTTGAAACGTCGTCTGGTCGTTACGGCAACTGTCTCGCCAACCGCATAACCCAACCGACCAATTCAGAGACTAACTGGTCGCTAGACCAAACGACTCTTTGGTCGCGCTCCATCAAGCGACCACCCTCTGGTCTTTCCAAACAATTCAATGGTCGTCCCAATCAAGCGACTGAACTATTGTTCACTTAATCAGATGACTAATTAACAGACTTTCGTTTGGTCCAAACTCCGTATTGGTCGACTCAACCGATGGCAGACCAACCGACTGCGAACTAACCGACTGCAAATCATCCGATCCGACTGCAGACCTTCCGACCTGTCTATCCGACCAAGGACTTTCTGACCTGCCTATCCGACCGAGGACCAACCGACCTGCCTGTCCGACCGCAGACCTTTCGACCTGTCTGTCCGACCACGGACCTTCCGACCTACTTATCCGACTGCAGACCAACCGACCGGATCAACCGACCGCGGACCAACCGACCTGAGTGCATATTTTCTCATTTTCCGTCCGACTTCTTATCCTAACTTCCTTGAAGATCCAGCTATCATTATTATTATTATTACTATTATTTTTTGTACGTAACACAATACAGTAATATACTTCCTCTATCTCACTTTTCATATTTATCTTTTCATTTATGTCGTTTCACTTCTTTTGCCACTTTCTTTTATTGAAAAAAAATTATATATTTTAACTTTATTTTTAAAATATTAATTTATAATATTTTTTAATTTTAATTATACTAATCAGTTATAATATTAATAATAATCTATAATTATTTTTATTATACAAATAATTATTTTTACTAATACATTTTTAATTATTTACTAATTATACTCCTCCTAAATTTTTGTATCTATAGTATAAATGACAAAATATCTGGGACGAAGGAAGTATTTTATTAAATAATTGAATAACAATATCTGTTGTATGATAATTATATATATTATCCCAATTTAGTTGATAAAAAAATAATTATGTTAATTATAGATTAAAAAAAATACACACTCTGTTCTAATTAAAAGTTATATATATATATATTATTTTTGTTGGTTACTTATGTTCTTGAAGTAGTGGTCTGAGTCTCTCTTACAAAATCAAGTTGGCTTCTATGTTCATTATAATTTTGAGAGGATGTTAAAATATTATTTATTTATATATTTAGTTATTTGATTGTTAACCTATTAATATTGATATTGTATCAAATTTTTTGGTACGACAAAAAAATACATATTGGTACTGTATCGAAAGTTTCGGCATATCAAAATTCAATATATTGAAACTTTTGGTACGATATATATTACTTATACTGAAAATTTTGATTTCAGTGACGATATCGGTATATACCGATTATACCGAAAATATAATTTTAATTTCAAAATAATTAAAACAAAATTAATAAATATCACCATTTTACACAACAAAAATATTATGAAAAAAAATAAATAAATTTTTAGTAGTCTGCATATTTTTTATTTTAAAAATTTAATAATAATTATTTATATTAATAATTAAATTATTTCATAAAAATAATATGGGTACGGTATCATATCAAAATACCAAAATTTTTATCATTTTTAACACGATACGGTACGATAATCAGTAGTTCGGTATATTCGACAAATTTTTCCTATGAAAAAAAGGACAAGCAAGTTGGGTGGATTTGAGTCACTTTGAATTTAAAGTTGAAAGTTGTATTCAAATTGATTTATTTAATTTATAATTTAAAATATTTAAAATTTAAAAAAATTAAAATACATGATTAAATTCTTAAATACTCCCTCCGCCCCCTGTATTATGGCGTTATTACTGTAGATACTAGAATTTAAGTAAAATGTAATTAATAAGTAATTAAGAAATGTACTAGAATTTAGGTAAAATGTAATTAGTAAGTAATTAAGAAATGTATCAGTAAAAATAATTATCGTATAATAAAAATAATTGTGGATTAAGATTAAGATAACTAAATAGTTTAATTAAGATTAAAAAAATTATAAAATTTAAAATTTAAAATAAAATTAAAGTGTATAATTATATTTCTAAAAAATGAATGGACAAATTATGTGGAAAGACGAAAATAGAAAATATGATAAATTATGTGGGACGGAGGAATTATATATTATAGTATCATTATATAAAAAATTAAATTTTTTATATTACAAATAAATGTAAAAATATAAATATTTAATTATTCTTAATATAAATTAATTTTATAAAAATCTTAAAAATTTTGAATTTATATAAATATATTTATTTATTTATTAAAAAAAATTGATAGAAATAGAAAATTTGGTATCGATATAAAAATATAAATATTTAATTACGATCCATATGATTCAATATTAAAAAAATAAAATAAATTGGAAAATCGGATTTGAAATGATAACCAGACAATATTTTATCATCATCATCATCATCAAGATCATTTAAACCGGACCGGACGGGACCGGCAACTAAATCTAAACCCGGTCGGACAGCTGAACAAGCTGACCGTCGTCACCACTGTCTTCCCTACCGTCGCCGGCCGGCCGGACTTGCAGAGGCTTTAAAGTGTACATTTTAGCGCAGACCAAGTAATACATAAGATTCAAAACCTGTAACAACGTAATGAGCCAATACAAGTACTCCAATTTTCCGGCGTCGAGGTTTTTATCCGGCAGCCAATTGGAGCCATTTTTTCCGGCGCTGTACTTATGCACGAGGCTGACGAGGAGAGTGCTCGTGTAGTTTCCGGCGGAGATCGCCAGCCAGAAAAGCGCCGTCGCCGTGCTGCGCATGCTCTCCGGCGACTGGTCGTAGAGGAACTCCAGATGTCCGACGGACACGAACGCCTCCGCCGCGCCGTGGAGGCAGTACTGCGGCGCCAGCCAGAAGACGGAGATGGGATCGGCGGCGCCGCCGTGGCGCTTCCGGCGGACCTCGACGAAGCCGGCGGCGAAGGTGGCGAGCACCGATATGGCGAAGCCAATGGCCATGCGGGTGAGGAAGGAGATGCCGCGGCGGAGGCCGGTGATGCGGCGGGCGGCGGGGACGAGGAGGCGGTCGTAGAAGAGGATGGTGGAGAGCATGGAGGTTTGGGTGAAGACGGACATGGAGGCGGCGGGGATCTGGAAGCGGCGCGTGAGGTGGCGGTCCATGGAGTTGGCCTGGTGGAGGGAGAAGGTGCTCTGCTGGGCGGAGGCGGTGATGAGGAGGATTCCGGCGGACCATATGGGGCCCATACGGAGGAGGGATTTGAGCTCTTCGACGCGGTGGACGGTGTTGAGACGCCATGGATTGGGAGCTTTGGGGTTGTCGTCGTCTGTAACAATGGCGGCCTTGTCCAAGAACCTGTACGTACGGATTATGAACACAATTGTGAATTGGAACTTTTTCATTGTTGCTTTTATTTTACTATGTTTGATTTTTTTTTTTTTTTATTGTTATTTTAATTAAGAATATTTTAAGATTTTTATTTTTTATTTTGATAAAATTAGTCGCAAGTAGGGATAGCATACCGTACCGTGTCGAAAATACCTGTCGATACCGATACCGTATTAAACTTTTCGGTATGACTAAAATATATACCGGTACGGTACCGGTATATACCATTTATACCGAAAATTTCAATTTCGATACGATACCGGTATATACCGTTTATACCGAAAATTTTGATTTCCGGTAGATACTGGTATATACCGATTATACCGAAAATATAATTTTAAATTTCAATAGTTTACATATTTTTTTTTATAATTTGAAAAAATATTAATAATTATTATTTATATTAATAATTAAATTATGTAATAAAAATAAAATCGGTACGGTATCATACCGAAATACCGAACTTTCCGAAAATTCATACCGATACCGTACCGAAACTTTCGATATACGGAAATTTTCGGTATTTTCGACACGATACGGTACGATAAGTCGGTATTTCGGTATATTCGGTAAATTTATCCATCCCTGGTCGTAACTCCCGTATGTTTTTCAAAATTTTGAGTAAAATCTCCCTATACTTTAAACAAATTGCATGGCACTCCCCCCTCCCCCCTTTTTTTTCATGACAGGATTTCATGTAATATTTTTGAAAATTTACACAGAATTTCGAAATCACAAAAGAATTTCATGCAACGTTTTGTAAAGTATAAGAGAATTCTAGGTATTTTTTTTAAATAAAGAGATATTTACGCTAAATTTCGAAATTATAAAGGAGTTATGGACAATTTTATCTTTTATGTTTTACCATTCCAAAAATAATTTATAAAATTATTTGAAATGAAAAGTTAGGGGGATTAAACTTTTTTTTATTTTTTTAGCTCTCATCTAAAAGTATTAATTTTTTTTTTATTTTAAGTAAAAAATATATATGGAATAATATAATTTTATTTATAATAATAAAAATATTTTTAGATGAGAACTAAATATGTTTTGGATTTAAAAATTAAAAATAATAATATTTTAATATTAAAATGTAATATGTGAAAAATTATTAAAAATATGATAAAAATAATAAATTAAATAGAAGAAAAAATAAAAAATTAATTATTATTTTATAAATAAAAAATAATAAGATATTGGATAAATAAATTATTTACGATAAATTTAAGGAACCAAAAAAAAGAATAATAAGATGATTTTAAGCGTGTATATATATATATATATAACAATATCAAAATTCATCTATATTTTGAGTATATTTGTGATGGAGTGAGTATATACGCATATATATATATATATATTGATAGAATTAGCAAATGTTTTAAGATGGAAGAAGTATAATCTTACATTATTGTACTCTGATCGAATAAATTACTTTTTCATCATCAAATTAAGTGCTTATCTGACTGGGTAAACAAAATACATAAAAATAAATTTTTTTACTCTTTTGGGTAAAAAAGATAGTAGAAAAAAATGGTATTGTTTTACTAAAAAAATGGATGAATTTGGATGACAAAAAAAAAAAAAAAAAAGAATAAAATTAGACAAGGAGGGAGTAATATTTATCTTAAAATAAAGTCCATGACCATAACAAAAAAATGATAATTTTATAACAATATAGTGCCGTTCATTTAGTGTTTTTTTTTTTTTTACATATATATATAGAAAAAAGCTCACAACTCATGAAAGGAAAAAAAATAAAATAAAATTGAATTTAATATTTTTGAAAAAAAAAAAAACTCCCAATTTAAAAAGAAAAAAAGAATGAAAAAAAATAAAAAAAATTCAAATGAACAAACACATAATAAAAAATAAACTTTTCAAAAAATACTTACTTGAGATTATGAGAATGAACAAGTCTACCTCCAATAGAGATCGGAGCATCAAGCTCCTCATTTTCATACAACATTCTCCCGTCGTCGCCATCGCCGGCCACCACCTTCCTTTTCCGGTAGGCCGCGACGCAGACCTGCACCAGCCGCGTGTAGGGGCTGCCGGCCGGCTCCAACTTCCGGTACAAAGGGTACCCGAAAACAAAGACAACAATGGACATAAACATGGCCGCGGCGGGGATGCCTAGCCCCACCCCCCACCCAATATTGTCCTGTATATAAACGATGACCGTATTCGCCACTAGGATGGATGCTCCCATAGAAAAATAGTACCAATTGAAGAATTTCCAAGTGGTAGTTTTTTGCTCAGGATCGTTCTCGTCGAATTGGTCTGCCCCGAACGATACGACGCATGGCCGGATCCCGCCCGACCCCAAAGCCGTCAGCAATAGGGAAACGTAAAGGATCGCCAATTGGCCGGTATCGGCTTCTTTGCATGAGTTCCCATCTTTGCACGGAGGCGGCCTTAGGCTCGGGAGTATCGCGGAAATTGTTAAGCTTATCATCCCCTGCTCGAAAATGTAACCGAAATCATTCAAAATCTCCATTATTATTATTAAAATTTAAAATTAAATTATAAATTTTAGTTTATATATATATATTTTTTTTGGAATTATCAAATTCAATTTAAATTTCAAATTAAATATTAAATTCTAATTATATGTTTTTTTTTTCTTTGCACCTATTTTTTAAAATCTAATCGTTGCCTAAATCTCTCTCATTCACGTTTCATCGCGCCGCGCCCACCCATCCAGACCAAATCCATCTGTCTCTCCGTCTCTCGCTTTTTAAACCTTCGAGCACTACTGTGAAGGCCGTCAGTCCGTCTTTCATCTTCTTCTCCTGAATCGACACTGTCAGATCGCCGTCATCAATCTCTTATCCAGCCTACGGCAGCGTTAATAATATTTTTTTGTAAAAACATTTAAATGTATGTTTATATGGCCTAAATTCTATTTTTGCTCAGGGCCTCGGAAAAATTCGAGACAATCCTGTTCAAAATAGTAATTATAACGAACAAGTCGGATCGAGTTGATTCTGATCTGGTCAGGAACTGAGATTGTCACGACAAGAAGAAGAAGCAGCCCGGAGAAGAATTGTTAAGTTATAACTCGCATGTGATTTGAAAAAGTATCCGTTTTTTTTATAATTATTTTTTAGGAAATTTTGAGTAATATTTTTTGAATATGAGGGAGTCTAGCATAATTCTTAGAGAATTTTGTGCAATATTATAAAAATTACGAAATATATTTTTTATATATTTTTTTTAATATAAGGAGTTTCAAAATTATAAAAAGATTGGTACAAATTTTTTGTTGTTTTATTTATTTATTTATTTATTTTTAATGATGTGGGAACCCACGGCCGCTATCCGGACACTGGCTAAACTTCGGGCCGAACCTAATATCCAAATTTTAAAATTCGATGTGGATGGGTTATAAGTAATTTTCTATTTTTTATTATATATATTTTTCTTCATATATATATATATTTTTTTATATTATACCGTTATTATTTTTTAACTTGTATTAAATTAGGCCTTATACTCATTTTTTCACAACTAACTATAATCTCAAGAGAAGAGAACTGACGAGTTGGTAGATGAGGGAGGCGAAGGTGATGGTCCAGAACCTTCCGGCGAAGGAGTCGGCAATAAAGGCTCCGAGAAGCGGCGTCATGGCGGCGGTGCCGCCGAAATTCGTGAGGGTGTTGGCGGCGGCGGTCACGGGCAGGTGGAGCTGCCCGGTTAAGTAGCTGATCATGTTTGTGCCGAACCCAACCACAGCCATTTTCTCACATATTTCATTTGCTGCACACACACATACAAATACAAAATTAATTTAAATTAAATTTGCCTGAAATCAGACATAGTAAATTTGGAGAAAATTATTTAGATAGATGATAGATTTGGAATTTATTTACCAAAGATGAAGGGCATAGTTATGAGGCCCCCCTGCCCCTGTTTTTGGCCCCCCACCACATCCCCAACCCCATCCTCATCCCCATCCCCATGCCTATCTTTCTTCCTCATACTTACCATCCTTCTTTCTCTCTCTTCCCCCCACTCTCTCTAGCCTAATTATTATTATTATGGGGTGGTGTTACCCAAACTCATATATATATATATATATGTATATAGGCATCATATTACGTACTCGATTTTTGTTTTTGTTTTTGTCTTTTAGATATATATATATATATACTGATTTAATTCAATTAATATATATATAGAGAGCTGTTAAACAAATCGAGTCGTTTATGAATTCGGCTCGATTCGATTAACGAACGAGCTCGAACTTTATTCGCGAACCTTCGTTTAAATAATATATTTATTATAAATATTATATATACATATAAAATTATAATTTATAAATAAATAATACTTCCACCGTCCCCAAATTATAGTCTGAGTTGTGTTTGACACGTGATTTAAAGAATATTAATATTATATTGGTAATGGATAAAAAGTACGGGTAAAAGACTTTTTTGCCCTTGTGAGTGTATTAATGTAAAAAGTAGTGGCAATTGTGTAATAATAATGAAAAAGTAAGAATAATTTTATAGTGATATGATTATTTATGAAAATGAGACTATTGTTTTGAGACGGACAAAAATGGTAAACATGACTATTGTATTGAGACGGAGGGAGTATATTAATTTAAAATATATAAATAAAATAATTTTAAATTTTCTTTTTAATTTTTATATAAATTTTAAAAAAAATAAGACAAACGAGCTCGAACGAGCTTAATCGAGTCTAAACGAGCACAAACAGGAGCTCAAACAACAAAATTTTTTAACGAGCTGAGTTCCAATACTACGAACGAGCTCGAAAGTTTAACAAACGCACACAAGCCTTATTTGCAAACGTTAACGAAGACTTAAAATTTAGCTCGGCTCGGTTCGTTAACAGCTCTGATGTATATAAGATAGAGAGTGGATATTCGACCGTATATGATAATACAATATACAATATATATTTTTATAACTCACGATATAATTTAATGTAGTACAATATTGATTACAACACTGTAATATATTTATATAGTTCAATATATTACTTCCTTTGTCCTACATAATTTGTCAACTATTTTTATTTTCGCCCGTTCTATATAATTTGTCCTTTCATTTTTTGGAAATATAATTATACACTTTAATAATATTTTAAAATTTATAATTTATAATTTTGTTTTATTTTAATTAAATTATTTAGTCATTTTTAATTTTAATCTATAATTATTTTTATTAAATCATAATTATTTTCACTAATATACTTCTTAATTATTTATTAATTATATAATATCTAAATCTTTGTACCTAAGCCAAATAGGACAATTTAGCTGAGATAAAGGGATTATATAATATGTACAACACATATTTTTATTATACACTATGTTATATTAGTATTGTATACAAACATGCACCACCTCTTTATATATACTGATTTGACCTGTCAATATATAGTACTTTCTCTGTCTCAATACAATAATTTTGTTTATAATTTTTTACCGTCCCAAAACAATAGTCTTATTTTCATAAATAACCATATCACCATAAAACTACCCCTATTTTTTAATTTTTATTACATAATTGCCACTATTTTTTATACTAATACACTCATAATGGCAAAAAAAAATTTTATCCATATTTTTTATTCACTATTAATATAATATTAATATTTTTAAAATCTTGTGCACAACCCAATTATACTATGTTTAATGGACGGATGGAGTACGGAAGATTTCAGTCATTGCATAGCCTATAAATCATGCCAATAGAATAAGGGTAACTCATGTGATAGGCTATGACGAAATGATAAGCCGAATTTCTAAAATGTCAGAATTTTGGTTCACTTCTATCAATCAGACACTGTCATATTCGATTTTCTTTGGCACAACAACAAATAATAATAATAAAAAAAAAATACTCCATCCCACGTAATTTAGATGCATTACTATAGACATAAGAAATTAAGTAAAATATGATTAGTAAGTAATTAAAAAGTGTATTAGTAAAAATAATTATTGTATAGTAAAAATAATTATAGATTAAGATTAAAATAACTAAATAATTTAATTAAAATTTTAAAAAAAATTATAAATTTAAATTTTAAAATGTAATTCAAGTGTATAATTATATTGCCAAAAAATAAAATGACAAGTTATATGAAACATAAAAAAATAGAAAATAAAGATAAATCATGTGGAACGAAGAGTAAATAACATCATAAATTAATAAACTTTAAAATTTGAGGGGTCGAATTACCGTACTATACTAAAAAATATAATAAAACTTGGGGGCTGCTCCCCCTGGCTATTTACTTTCGTCACTAATGACAAATTTTACTAAGATAATACCGGTAGGATTTGAATCCTATATGGTATATATTTTATTAAAAAATAATTATTAAAACAATTAAATACATATTTTTAATTTTTTTAATCTTATATATATTATATCATAAATTAAACACTCATTCCGTCTAAGCGATAAATACATATTTATTTTTTTGCGCAGAGTTTAAGAAATAATAGTATTTTAATTATAGTAGATAGGTAAAAGTAATGTAATGATATTTTTGCTCTTACTTTTTAGTATAAAAGTAATTATATGATGTAAAGTAAGGGTATTTGTGGAAAAAAGTGGGGTATTTAATAAAATAATTACTTTGTAATTGGACGTCTCAAAATAAAAATATATATACTTTGTAGCTGGACGGAGGGAATATTAATTAAATAAATCACTCAAAACTCAACTTCCAACTCAATAATCCAATCGGTAACCAAACACACTTTGTTATTTTTTATTTTTATCATTTACTTTATAGTTTTAAGAATTTGTCTATGTTATGAGAAAACGAGAAAGAAAACAAATAAAAAATACAGAGATTTTACGTGGTTCGGTGACGGTGTGTCAACCTACGTCCACGGGCAGGAACCAGAGAGATTTTATTATACTGATTCAAAGATTTACAATTATGTCATACGACGAGGAACCATAGCTATCTATTTATAAGCACCCTAAAACACCCTAAACCCTAAGTCTATTTGTTATTAATTAGAATAAGCCCAAAAGGAACCCTGCCAATTGAAACAGCCCTTTCGATTTGGTTTCGGATCGGGTAAACTGCTAAATCCAAGTCACGTTTCAACAATCTCCACCTTGACTTGGAGTTTCTCCAACAGCCAAAGGTTCGTCAGTATCTCTCGGTCATCTCCTTCCTGCCAGATGCCCCGAAAGGGCTTTACCTCCTGCGAATATTCACCAAGTTCAAGCAGCGCTAGAACTTCTCCATCGGTAGCGCCTTTGTCAACATATCAGCTGGATTGTGTTCTGTAGCTATTTTCTGAATAGAAAACATGTCTTCCTCAAGAACATCACAGATAAAATTCAACCTTACATCAATATGTTTGGTTTTCTCTCATGATACACTTGATTTTTAGCCAAACTCAAAGCATTTTGACTATCACAGAATAACACCGGTTTCTCTAGCTTCAAACCCAAACTCTGCACCAGACCATGTATAACCAGATACCCTCCTTAATACCTTCAGTCATTGACATGTATTCCACCTCAGTTGTCGACAGTGCAACTGTAGGTTGTAAAGTAGACTTCGAACTGATTGCACATCCAAACAGAGTGAAACTAAAGCAAGTCAGTGATCTTCGTTTCACCAAGTCACCCCCGTAATCAGAGTCTGCATAGCCAACAAGACCATCACTATGGTCTTTATCATCATATACCAGACAAATATCAGACGCTCCTTTCAAATATCGCAAGATCCACTTTACAGCTCCCCAGTGAGCTTTACCCGGATTAGCCATAAACCTGCTTACCACACTGACCGCATAAGCGAGATCCGGTCTCGTACATACCGTCGCATACATAAGATTTCCAACTGCACTTGAATATGAAACCGTCTTCATGTAGCTAACCTCTTTATCTGTAGCCGGTATAGTGCTTCGGTCAAGTTTAAAGTATGCCGCCAAAGGGGTATTTACCGGTTTGGACTAATCAATAGAGAATGCCTGCAGAACTTTCTCAATATACTTTTATTGAGAAACCTATAGCCGTCTTGCTTCTCTATCACGCCAAATCTTCATACCTAGTATTTTCTTTGCAGCACCCAAATCCTTCATCTCAAACTCACCCTTTAGTAGAGTCTTCAAGTCATTAGTTACAACCATGTTTTTAGCTGCAATTAACATATCATCCACATACAACAACAGATACACAAAGGAATCAGTAGAAACTTTATTCGAGTAAACACAGTTATCAAACTGATTACGAGTATAACCATTAGACACCATGAAAGAGTCAAATCTCTTGTACCATTGCCTCGGAGACTGCTTGAAGCCATACAGAGACTTCTTTAACAAGCATACTTAGTCCCTTTTAGAACTTTTGAATCCCTCCGGTTGAGACATGTAAATCCGTTCTTCGAGATTACCATAAAGGAATGTTGTTTTTACATCAAGCTGCTCCAGCTCCAAATCAAAAGCACCCACCATTGCCAAAAGAACCCGGATGGTTTTGTGTTTCACCACAGGAGAAAGGACTTCATGGTAATCGATTCCTTCCTTCTGCGAGAACCCTTTTGCCACCAATCTCACCTTGAACCTAGCAGGTTCAACACCAGAAATTCCCTCTTTTCTTTTAAAGACCCACTTACATCTCATTAGCTTCACCTTTTTTGGTAGTACAATAAGATCCCAAGTCTTGTTCTTTTTAAGAGACTGCATCTCTTCATTCATTACCAAAATCCAGGTTTCTGCATCTTTACTCGTCACAACTTCTTTATATGTCTTTGGCTCATTAGAGCCAAGATCATCACTAACCGCCAGTGCATAAGCCACAAAATTCATGGCACATGTATTGACACATCCTGCAAACCTAGCTGGTTTCTGAATATTTCTCTTTCCCTTTCTTGCTGCTATGAAATATTCAACCCTAATACCAGCGTCATCAGTTTCCCCCTCAATTGGTTTCCCTTGAGGTTTTGACTGATCTGGTTGATTGGATTTATCAATTATTATCCTGATGCCCTTCCTCTAACACAACTCTGTCAGGAATCTCAAAC